ACATTCAAAAAAAAAAAAAAAAGAAACAAAGAAAAAAAAAATCTAAAGATTTTTCTATAAAAAAAAAAAAAAAAAAAAAAAAAGTACAAACATGGCTACAAGTTAATATATTGAATATAATCGATGATTTTAAAAATACAGTTAAACAAATTTATTTTCTTTTTATTTGATAAAAAAATATTTTATTTTTAAAAATAAGTTTTTAAAATAAAACAAAAGATATTTTAAAAATTACTATAAATATATTATAAATAGCTTATTTTAAAAATATGTGACCCTGGAGCACAAAACCAGTCTTAAGTTGCTGGGGTATATTTGTAGCAATAGCCAAAAATACATTGTATGGGTCAAAATTATAGATTTTTCTTTTATGATCCTAACAAACCATACATCAATAGAAAGCTTGTTTATTCAGCTTTCAGATGATTTATAAATCTCTATTTTGAAAAATTGACACTTAAGACTTAGGTTTTGTGGTCCTGGGTCACATATAGTAACAAAAGACATTTTCCCTTATAGAAAAACATTTACAAATATGTAATATAACAATAACAACAACAACAAATGACTATAAAGATAATTAATATTACCAATAATACATAAAAAAAAAAAAAGTTATAAACAGGCATTTACCTTGCAAGTAAAAAAAAAAAAAAAAGTTATTTTTTTGCATTAAAAGAAAACAAATCTTTAAATAATTATAAATAATAAGCAAAAACCGCTCATTAAAAATACAGTAAAAATAGCATTTTTCCTTTTTTTATTTTTAAAAATGACTATAAATAACAATCAGATATGCAAACAGCTAAGGGGAAAAAAAGGTGAGAACCGAGGGCATGCTCCACATGGAATTTTTTTTTTAAGATATTAGTTTTACATGCTCATTTGCAGTTACTTTAAGGTATTTTTAAAAATATTTTTTATTACCTTATGGGTCAAAAACTGAAATTTTTCACACACACACAAAAAAAAAAAAAAACATCTTGTTGCAACATTTTACAAAAATCAAGACTGAATATATTTGGTCAAAATCCCATGTTATAAAAGATGAAGTGCTATGCAGGCTATTTAAGACAATATTGGCTGATTAGACGGCAATGCTGACCTAAAATGAAAAATGTTTGCCCTCTCTCTTCACTGTTCCCACATCTCAGACCTCAAATACATAAAATATTACCCTTTTTAGACATAGTTTAGTAAAGAAAATACTCCACAAAACTTACTAGCAGTTGTCAAGTGGTTATCAGTCTTACTTTTCCAATACAAATAAGACCAGTCTACCTTTTCTTAACTGAATATAAAAAGTTATGACCAGTCTGCAACCGGCCCCAGTTCTTTATTTACCCTTGTAAGATCACAAGTACCCTTGTAAGCTTGTAAAAAAGATTTTCATATTAGGGAACACCTTGGCATTTCTTGTTAAAAACAAAAAAAAAAACTAGAATATTATAACAAACTGTGGCCAAGGGTCTTAAAATAAAATGGTAATATTTATGCTTCATTTCTGCAATGTCTGCATGATCAGTGTTTTAATGAAAGGTTGTTAACACTAGGCCTGGGCGATAAACCGGTATCGATATTTATTGACGGTACACCTTCTTTGATAATGATAGAAAAAATGTTCGATATAACGCACGATATATAGGCACGTGCTATGAGTGACGCACAGCACACACAAACACGAACACATGCTGAATTGAGTGCTGTGCCTGCCCGTTATGAGGAGATTGTGAATAAAGAATGAATATAAATCGAATTTAAAATAAACATTTGCATTTGAATGCAAAAATAGTACAAATGTTAGGAGTGCGTCATCAGTGGAGCACGAGATGCGGTGATGATGTAAGTGACGTTGTTGCATTTGATTGTTTTATAAGTCTAGCCCAATAAAATATTAGAGAAATATAGAAGCTCAATACGGAGAAGATATTGAATGGGTTAAAACCGAAACCAAGCCATTCACACAGAATGCATATTCAGCGCATTTTTTAGACGGACAAATATGACTGCTGCTCTCACGTCTCACACAAGAGATGTATAGAAAGCCATGCAAAGTTAAAACAGTTTAAACTTTTAGAAAACACGTCACGAATTTGTGGAGGTTTATTCCGTTTCACTGCATCTCTTATGTTTTTAAATGCAGTCTGTGTGATGGGCGATTCGGCTCTTTGTATTAAGCAATGCATAAATACATGATGCTGTTTTGTTCATAATTGTTTATGCAATTTACGAAATTATGTTTGATTTATATGAGTTAATTTAGACGTAATGCACGTTTTTCTTTTTATAGACAGTTATTTCCTTTGCGTTGGCAATTTAATGTGCTACTGTGGCTTCGGGAGACAAGCCAAAAGTTTCCTTCAGACCTATTTAAACTCCATATAAAACATTAGAAATTAGATATTTGTTAAATTTTTATTTTGTGTTTGACTGTTAAAACAAAAAATATTTGTTGTTTGTCTCAATAAATTGGGTTAATTTAAAAATACAGTGGTTAAATTTAAACGTGTTTTTCCTATTGCTCTTTGTTTTAAAAAAGGTTATAAAAAATGTCAATAATTATCGATACCGAACGATATGAAACATTATATCGTTGATACATTTTTTTGCTATATCGCCCAGCCCTAGTTAACACCCACCTGAAGTGTTTTGAGCTGCTGGGCCTGCAGTGTGGTGGAGCTGCCCATCAGCTGACTGGCTGAGCTCACCGCTATCACAGGCTTCCCTACTGTCGTCACCATTTTGATCTGCGTCGGCTGGGCCTTGGCATCTCCTGTGCTCTGGGTAGTGGCGGGCTTGTTCCAAGTGTGAGGCAGAGCCAACATAATGGGCTGCCCTGTTTTACTGAGGCCAGCAACCAAGAGTTTTTGGCCCTCTGGCTTGAGCACAGCAGCGCCTAGAGACTTGCCAACCGCAGCGGGGGCGCCGGACACTTTGTTGATGATGAGCTGGTGGTTGGCCGGGACAGTTACGCTGGAGATTTTGGGGAGGTTCTGAGTCACCGCAGGACCGGTGGTTTTGGCAGAGGTGGTGGTACCGGATATAAGGCCGGAGGGGGCGAGGAGGAGCTGAGTTCCTGAGCTGGTGCTGCATTGAGCGTCGGTGGAGGTCATCTGCATAGACGTGGTGGTTGGACACAAGCTGACGATTTCAGGCAGCTCTGTCTCCATAGGAACCTGCGGTGGCTCTGGTTCAGATTGGGGAGGAGCAGCGAGGTGCTCGGTGGGGAGCTCCTCTTCCATCGCGATGGCTTCCGTATCCATAATCTCATCAGGGAGGAGGCTGTTGAGCTCAGGTGAAACCACATCCATCATGTACGAAGTTACTGAAAACACACTGGGGGTGAAAAATTCATTTCTTAAATGAGTAAAAACATAGAAACATCCACAAACAAGAAATGAGACTATATTACTGAAACAGTGTTCAAATTTTTTTAGAACTCGTTCTTATTTTCATCAAGGCTATTAGAAATCACTGTAATATGCTGATTTGCTGCTTAAGAAACGTCTTCTTATATTGTTGTTGAAAATAGTGGTGCTGCTTAATATTTTTGTTGAAACATTTTTTTCAGGATTCTTTGTTAAATAGAAAGCCCAAAAGAACAGCATTAATTCGAAATAGAAATATTTTGTAACAATGTCAAATTCTAAAATATCTTTGCAGAATAGAATCTTTTTTTTTTATATATATAATATAGTAAAACTATAAAATGTATATTTCATGTTGTTTAACTATGTATAAACATTAACTATACAGTATATCTTCTTTTTAATATTATTAACACGTGTGGGTGTGTATGTATGT